CAGATCTCCCTGGTGAGTCCTACAATATGCTTTTTCCTTTTTCACCCTCCCCGTTGTTGGAGTCAGGTAGCAATTTTCCTGTTCCATAGTGTTCTAATGGACCTGTCCTGAATAACCCTTCCCCTAAAATAACAATGAAACATACCATTTCTTGTTGCCACACGGTTGCTTTGCTTTTGTGCTATACTCCTCCCTTTGCCCTGTGTCTGTTTTGTCTGGTTTGATTTTAGGCTCTGGGGCATAGGCTGATTACTTTATGTTTGTACAGAGTGCCTTTTACTGCAGGGCACCATTATTTGGCCTTTTGGTTTTTATTGTAATAAATGCGATTAATCATATTGCTTTTCGGAGGCCTTTATTAATGCTTTTCTGAGAAAAATCTTGTGCTGCTGCTCTTAATTATGCTTACATTGATCTTTTGTCCTCTTTGAACCTCTTCCCCTCTTTCTTGCCTCCCCGTTCTTCAAAAAAATGCTTTAACTGCAGCATTAATTCTCTTGTTTGGTTCTGTATTAAATATTGAAGTGTGTTTTGCCTTTGATGGCATCCTGCTGCTGCAATCCAAATTAAATATTTAGATTGCTCCTGGTGAAAATAGTAGATGAGGGTGGCAGAAAAAACCTTCACATGTTTAATTCAAGGCAGTGCTATTTGGTAGTACACTTTAAATGCATGGCAAGGGCACTTGTAACTTTTTGCTGGCCCTTTACTTTGTAAACAGCATCTTGCATATAGTGGATTTCTTGCTGACTTTTAAAGGAAAACCGTTCAGAGAATTACACTGTTGTGCTCCCCACTCTGGTGTCAAAACCAACTGGAAAACATGACTGCTATTGCTGATGCCAGTATCTTAGCATGAGAAATAATAGATAATGAATGTTATGAGCAAAAGTGTTCTAGATTGTGATGTACCCCATGCTTTTGCAGAAGGAAAGATGCATCCTTCTCTGATCTTAGTTGGCTCTAAGGGGCATAGGAAAGACTTGTCTGTCTATCCAAAAAATAAAAAATATAGCTATGGTATTTTTATTATAGGACAATTCGTCTGGCAATGTATCTGAAGGTGATTGCGCCACAGACAACCAGGAGGATTCTTTTCAGGGAAGACAAAAAACAAGAGACAAAAGTGCTACTCCAAGAAAAGATGGTTCCAAACGTTCTGTATTATCCAAATCAGTTCCTGGGTACAAGGTAGAAGAAAAAAGCCCCTGACTGAACTTTACTGACCAGCCTCTCCCTGAAATACTTGTTTTTTCAATAATATGGAACTTCTGCTTGCTGTACTTCACTAGCTGCTCTCCTGTTGTGTGCTCCATCTGTTTGCTTCCTTACTTCCTTTTTGCTTTTATTTCACGTGGGGCTTTCCTTTACCCTAGCTATACAGTGGCCTCTGTTTCTGTTAATGTCTCAGATTCCCAGGCAGTAACACCAGAAAAATCCATTGTGGATTTATCACTGGAACTCTGCATCTTTCTGTCTGCCTTAACATAGCAGTCAGAATTACTTGTCAGTTCAAAACTAGCATTCAGTATCCATTTTTTTATTTCTACTGTTTCGTATGGCAGCATATCAAGAGATCAGTGCTGTAAAGTGCAGCTATGTGGCTGAACATGTTGTTATGACGTTCATTTTAAAGACAGTCTTTCATCCTGAGATGTTATGATGTATAGGATGGAAGGCAAGAGGCTTACTACAGTTGTATAGGCAACACTATGTAACCACTTTAAAAGTATATGGAAAATAGCTTTTTATGTAGTTCATACTATGTAGAAACATTTCTGGGCAATATGCTTTTATCCAAGCTATAAACTTGGTGAGGATGTTAAAACATTTCAGCTGTCGAGCAGTGATTGCCAAACCTAAGACCCAAATCATCAGTATTACTCTATAATAATTTCAAAAAATAAAAATAAGATTACAATAAAAATACTTTTCAGAAGAAGTGGGAATTGACATACATTATTTATGTATTATTATTATTATTCTGCATACTAAGAGAGGATCTGAACATGATGTAATGCTTTTAAAGCATGTTATTGCCTAGTCCTGTTCCACTGAAAGGAATGAGAATTTTCCATTGACTTACGTGGGAGCAGGAATAGACTCATAAAGAGGGAAAACACTACATTAAGATGAGGTTTAGTATTTAGCAATCAGGAATGCTTGTTAAGAGAGGCTATGGAAAAAGGAACATTTTTGTCAGTGACGAGATCATACAGATTGAGAAACTGTCTCAGCAAAAGTGAGCTGTTGATGACTTGCATTTTATATTCATAAATATTTACTATCTGTGTTTACCAAGTTAACAGTAAATAAACTGTAACTTACCTTAAGAAGCTAATTTCCAGCAAGAATCGGACAGCTTTGATAAATTTTCTCTACATACAGTATCTGTACAAGTTCGTAGCAGATAGCAAACTCCAGTTGCGTTTTCTCTTTTCAGGAACTTACTAAGAATATGCAAACTATGGAGATTTAGACTGTGGTACCATATGTATATTTTTTTATATGTAACTTTGCAAATTGTTGTAGATGCAGAATGCATACCAATATTCCCATGAACATGAAATCCAAAGATGGAGCTTGAATTTTTTTAGGCTTTGTTTAACTTGACATTGTGTGCCACTGGTTTACAGCAGTTTCACTGAGCTGTGAAATACCTGAGTGTTTGATTAGTCCGATCTACTTAATGGCCTTTTGAATGCATAGAGAGAGGACTGATGGAGCAGAACTTTTTGCAACTGAACTTCTAATTGTAGAAGAGAAATGGCAGTATACAGCATTGCATTCTGAAAATGGATTCCCAGAGCAATTACGCAGTGGTTCAAAATCACCGATTGTGTTAGTAACAAGGTATTACTGTAAACTAACAGTGCCACATCTTTGCAATGTCAGTGTACCCTGCCTGCATCAGCCATCGGGCAGTTGATAAGTCAAAACTTGTGATGTTGTGTTGGGAGGGGGAGAGAATTGGCTTTCTTGTTTGTGGGAACGTTTAAAGGCTTTCAGTAAACCAAATTACATGAGCTGTTTTAATTGGTAAGACAGAAAGATTCTTGTTTGTTAGTCTATAAAAACACCAGATAATGATATACCATATGTGCCTAAATGTTTAGGCACTTTGAGCTGAAAGCTTAACTGATTTAAAATGTTGTCCCTGTGAATTCTAAATCTTTGTAATACTTTTGTTCTGTATTGTTCTCTAATATTTGACTATTTTTGTAGGACAGTAATTTTTTGGTTACATGTAGTTAAAATTGAAGGATAATTGCTATGGCATCAACATGCAAATGTTATAGTTATAGCCACATTATGAGTATTACAGGATTCACACATTTCCACTGAGTTATTTTTGAGTAAAAGAAATAATGTATTTTATATGGAGCCATTTTTATTGTCAGTTCTTTAACAAAGAACGGTTAGCGTGTCTTTTACATTTTGTCATGTAGTGAGTCTTTGTTGCTGCAGGACTGGCTACTACAATTGCACACACAGGGTACTGTTAAAAGTACAGGAGATTTTTTGCACATAAAACTGAAATGTATTGAGAAACTATATTTTACAACACTTCTGCTTCGGGTCACTGTATATGAGAATGGAACGCTTTGCTTTCAGAATAGGACCTTATAAAAATGGTGTAGTTGGAATGCTTCTTTTGAGAGCTGCAGCACAGCAGCATGGAAGTGAAACCCTCCAGAGCAGGCAGTCATCATTGACTCTGCATTCATTTTGTCTCCCTTCCTCATCCCAATAAGATGAGGACATTGAAAGCAAAATTTACTCTAATCAGATGGGATATTGTGACTTCCCATTTGGATTTGATAGACTTTTTTCATAGCTTTTCTAAAAGCCATTTATGGTGATAGAACTTGAACTGATTTGAAATGTGAATAGTCTTGCATTTTTAATTTTTTTTCATTTTTGTAAAAATACTTCCATACTGTTGGAATTTTATTATTAATAGGCTGTGATTCTCACCCCCCCCCCCAACATGCACGATTTCTAATGAACACAATTTAGTGAAGTAAGACTAGATGGAAGCATTGTTAATAAATGCATCTATATCAGTGTCTAACTTTAGAGTTATGTGTATCAGAGTGTTAACTGCACATACCTTAACGCAGGTACAGTGACCGAAAAGTAGCTCACTTTAGTTTTGCTGGAGTATGCTGCTGTATGTTAAAGGCAGTAAAATACAAATCCATAACAAACTAGAAGTCTGATTAGAAAAGTGCACTTGCTATTCTAGAAAGGCTTGGTTTACTTAGAAATAGATAAAAACACAATTAAAAAAAATTAGAATGTAGCCTAAACAACAGAAGGGTAAATGCTGCAACACTGATGAGGTTTAAGCATGTGCCACTTTTGTTGGGAGGAGCAGGGTATAAAGGTATACATGTAGGACACATAGTATAGTTAACAGTAAAAGAGTTTATGTGTGGTTTTGCTTCCATTATATTTATTATTTTGTAGAGATGTTTGTGAATGTTAGACTTTTATTGTTTTATTATATTTATGTATAAACCAGGTTGACTCTGCTTTTTTAAAATAAATAAGCAAAAAAAAAAAAAGTCTGTATGAATGCCTCTGTCATCTTTTGAAGGAAGTTACCTATAAACATCTGGTATGGTGTTTTGTTTTCTTAAAACTCTTTAGACCAGACAATTTGAAGTAGACTGTAGCCATGCTTGAACTTAAAAAGTAGATAGAAAACTTCAGAAAACTTAAAGCAATGCATCCTGACTACTTAAAAATGAGTCAAGATATTAATTGTCTTGCTAGGTGCTAGAAAAAACTGGCTGGGAAATAATAAACACACTTAAAGAGAAGTTGTATTGCAAAAGATCTTGGCAATTTATATATATATATTTTATATATATTTCTGTTTTCACTTTTATTTTAAAACTAAACTTGATTCGTCTCCCCACATGTGGCTGGTAGTTGACTGGGACTCTTCTTGCTTACTGAGAAGCCATTCAGGTCCTTAGAAAACAGGGTATGCCTTCAGCTCCCTCTAATAGCTGCGTCTTTGCAGCAACATTTACGTGTTTTTTTAAAACTCTGGCACTAGTCGATTTAACATCAGTGAGTACTATAAATTTTAAACCTCATTTGTCACTAATTTCATTATGCAGCGGTCAAAGCTCAACAATGTAACTCCTGAAATGTTTCTGAAATTCGTAACGCCTTATTTCTTCCTTGGTTCTCACCTGGATAAAACCGTTGGTCTCTCTTGGGTTGGGACACAGAACGCGTACACAAACGTTACTCATTGTAGCAGCCAGCTGCTTCTCTCTGACCTTTTAAGTGGATCTCATGGACCCAAATGCACTCCAGATGATCACTTAGAAAGATGATGAATGTAAACCTGTAGATAAATGCAAAGGTGTGCATTTCTTATAGCGATTATGACTGGATACAAGAAAGAATGGTAAAACAGAGCCGTGTACAGCATAGCTAACCAGATATTTTGAAACTAAAGATACAAAAATCAAGTTTATGGCTTTTGTAATTAATTTTCTTTATTTAGGGACAAATGTCCTGTAAATGGAAAATTGTGTTCAATTTCTTCCATAAACAGGAAATCTGCATGGCGATTCATAAAGAAGTAGTCTATATTGGGAAAAAAATACTGAAATTTTTAATGCTATGTCACATTTAATTTACATTGTGGGGAATGTTAGCTGATGAATTCATAGGAAGAAACGCGTATGTGCTTTTCTTCATTTGATTTACATATAACTCACTGTGTGCCAAATGCAAAATTTGACGAAGGTAATTACAATTTTTTTCAGTGCTGCTGCTTGTCAGTTGTCATATTTTTTAAGGTTCACACATCATAACAGTTCATTAAGTTAAGAGTTAAGGAGATATATGAGATTTCCTTTTAAACCTGTAAATTCTTCTGGAATGAATTTATAGCCCTCTTCTACCCTTCCAGCCAAAGGTCATTCCAAATGCTATATGTGGGATTTGTCTGAAGGGTAAGGAGTCCAACAAGAAAGGAAAAGCTGAAGCTCTTATACATTGCTCCCAGTGTGACAACAGTGGTAAGTATCTGCATACACTAAGTGGATTCCTAAGGGAGTTCGTTTGACAAGATCTTTTTGTGGAAATACTTGGTGTACTGCACTTGTGTACCAACAGTGCCATTGCCTTTTCTGTCCTTCGTTAAGACTCCGTCTCTATTTAATGTTACGTGTGCTGGCACGTTCAGCGCAGTGTGGGATCTCACCAGGAGGTGAGCTAAGCTTCAGCTTCTGTAAAAGCAAAACAGTCTAACTAATTTTACATTTCATTTCAGACATAAAAGTAATAATATCGGTTTTAATCTAGGCCACCCTTCTTGCCTTGATATGACCCCGGAGCTTGTTGCTATGATTAAGACTTATCCTTGGCAATGTATGGAGTGTAAAACATGCATTATATGCGGGCAGCCTCACCATGAAGAAGAAATGATGTTCTGTGATGTATGTGACCGTGGTTATCACACTTTTTGTGTGGGGCTTGATGCTATCCCTTCAGGTAATAAAGTAAGAGTTAATAGTTCCCTTCCCACTTCCTCCAAGTCCTGGGCCTTCTCTCCTAGAATTAATATATGCACTGCTCTTGAAAGAACAGTTTAAGACAAGCACGAAGGGTAGGAGTAAGCAGTACTGTAGGAAAGCATTCACACTGTAGGACCCAGGGTTTTTTAATAAGCTTTATTTCTGTGTATTTGGTTGTGCACAGTTTAACCTGGCAATTCCTGTATAGGAAATATAATTGGCTTTTACAACAGAATTCAGACTTACTCAGAACTAGGTGGTAGGTTTTTTCCCATATCCACAGAATACTGAGAATAATCACCTCTTTTCATAAAAGAAACCTGTAAAGAGGCCATATTGCTGGAGTATAGCTTTCACATTAATAAAGTGTTTGTGCTATTATTTCCATTTCTAAATTAAAAAGTATGCTCAATATTTGTAAATACCTTTTTAAACCCCTTCTTTCCCATTTTTTTTCTTAACCATCAAAGCTGGAACTGAAGTACCTAGGGCCAGGCAGCCTGTACCTTTAACTGTCCTGGGGTCACTCCTATCACCCGGCCAACTCAAGGCAGTGTAAAGAAAGCTTCAGACATAGAAGTAACTGGTAGTAGTACTGTTGCTTTTCACATAATACTACATCTATGGTAAGTTAGTTCATGAATAAGTATTCAGTGGCTGCATGTTCTGCAGTGACAGTATTCTCTGTAACTATGGTACTTCAAACATGCTGTACGTTCCCCATTTTGGGAAGCACTGGCACTAGCTGTCACTTTAGTACAGGGTCTGTGGCCGATTTAAGTTTCAGGCTGACCTCAGGACAGAATCTAAACAAAAGAGTTTATATGCTTACAAAAGTATAAAATTACCAAAGCAGCCTTTATGATTCCAGCTGTTGCACTATAAACAGTTAAATGCTTCTGCTCTGTGCTCCATCCTTTATTGTTCCCTCAGTAAATGAGTTTTAGTACAAGGGCTGGTGCTGAACCCCAGCCAGCAGCTTAATCTCTGCTGCCTGACTGCACTGAAATAACTGACATGGGTTTGGTAACTGGATGAGTGAGTAACAAAGGTAGTTTCCCAATAATTGATAACTTTCTTTTCTTAGGTCGCTGGATTTGTGATTGTTGTCAGAAAGACTCTCCCGTACCCAGAAGAGGAGGAAGAAGGGGGAAAAACAGCAAGGAGGGCTAAAAAACCCCAAACCCCCTTGCTGTCCAAAACTTAACTGCAAAAATTAAAGTGATACTTTGGTGCTATTTAACCAACCACTTTAAGAGGAACAATACCACTTTTTTTTTTTTCTTCCTTTTTACCAAATAAACTTTTAATTTTGGCTATATAATGATTTTTTTGGTGATACAAGTGACTAATCATGTCCTGTCAGATGTCTAGATAGAGATAGATAAGCCAAATTCCCACTTAAAAGGCTTTCAGTAATCAAATTTAAATTGTACATGCACCATTTGTATAAAATTATTGTAACGTACTTGTTTATTTCAGTGCACTCATCAGTAAGCTCTGTGAAAATTACAGAGCAATTTAAATATACACTATTTGCATAGCAACTGGTTATTTTCAGAGACTCAACCAAAGCAAAAAAATACTCCTGGAAAAACTAACTTTCAAGGAAGAGTGGGCATGACCTGACCTTACCATGTACTGCAGATTTCTTTCAGCAGAAGTTTTCTTTGCAAGCTAATGACTTACTCATAAAGATGTACTAAAAAAAATAAAAATCAATCACAAAAAGCTAGAAAGGGAGGTGTAAGAAAACACCTCTCAAGTTCAAGATAACGATATGCTGTCTTGCTTTTAACGAGGAATGAAAATGTCGTACTGACAAGTAACGACAGCTGAAGGCTTTATGCTGCCTGCGGTAATAGTGAAGAAGTAACACACACTCGATTCAGGTCATGGATCTGCAGAGGTGGTGAGTGACTGGACAGACCTCTGCTTGACAGATGGTTGACAGTGTAGAGCACAAGCAGTTAAAATAGAGATCATCCATCCCCTCAGGTGACTGACTGGGTTTTCCTTCCTTCACCCCAGGCTCCTCAACTTGAATACACTCAAAAGCCATTGATAATTAGTTTTACTGGAGATACTTGCTCAGAAAAGGAGTAGATTTTATTTTAAAATATGCTCTAAATTGAGAGGGGGGTACTGAAGTGCAGCAGTTTATTTTACTTTTCTTTATATATAAAAAAAAAGTGATAGAAAATACTGAATTCGAGTTGATTTTCCTAAGCACCTGTTTAAAGTGAATTCAACAAGATCCCAACTGTACATTCATTTTTAAGCCCTGATCTCTGAAGAACACTGCAAATACTGTGCTCGCTGCTCATTTTACATATAGGGGAGGATTTACAATATAAAATTAAATATGGCTTTTTCCCCCACTTCCTTTCTGGTTTAGGAAAAGTAACCTGAATACCTCTTCAGGAAACAGAACAAGGAGTATTAAATATTCCAGCAAGTCATTCACATTCAATTTCACAGGCTGAAGTGTGACTTAGTCCAGTGTGTATCAATTTAAAAAAGAATTTCAAGTATTAATTTCAAGATTCCAATCAGTATAGTCCAGAAAACAGACTCCTCATCCTGAGATTCGTCTTCTGTAGACTGTGAGTATTTCTGGTTCGCCTCCATCTCCTCGGGGTTGTAAGAAGCTTCGCCAAATGGATACTGTACAACTGTTCGATCGTAGTACACTTTCATTTCAAACTCGCTCTCCAGGTGAGAGGGATGACCATAAATCCCTATTCCCACCGGGCGGCGGAAGTGCGCGGGTACATGGACAACATCTTGGCCGCAAGTTACGGACTGTAACTCGTATTCGTCAAAGCTGGGGTGAAGAGTCATGTCAGATACGTACAAGTCTGCATCACCTTTTAAACTCCGCATCTGAAGTACAATCTTTCCCTCGTGGTTTAGTCTCAAATAGCTGTAGTTTCCTGCTCCAATCTGACCTTGAACAACATGAAGAAGAATCCATTCTTCGGGTACATCCTCTTCCTCAAAGGCATTTACCACAAATAGGACTTGAGCTGCCATAAATATTACCAGGATTCTTCTCCAGCGTGTTGCCATGGTCTTAAGTTATATTCAGACTCTTCCTGTGTCCTGTGCGCTACCCTGTGAATACAAAACATAAGTCAGATTTTAGCATGTTCTATTCCTGGAAGGAACTGATTTTTTTTTTTAATTTGATGATTTTTAGAAATCACCTCTAGTCCATACAAAATTAAGCAACTTCAATTAAGTATGTTCATTAACTTTTCTTCTTTTTTAATGATAGTAAAACCTGTTGCTAAGATCCAGAGCTCTTTAGGCTTGAAATGGCTTGAATTTCTTAAAGTAGTTACACAGAACTTAATCAAGCGGATGCTCTTTCATCCAGAACTGACACAGAGACTTCAGTTTCATTCTACTTGCATACATGCCAAATTTGACAGATACCCAGAAAAGATGAAACCCAATAATGATTTTAGCTTCAGTTTTAAAAAAGTTAAAAAGAATGCTTTTGCATGCTTGAAGAAGCTTAACTTTGTACCAGGTATTGAAGGCATCCTATTTGTTCTCCCATCCTCTCATCTTAACTTCAGAAGACAGTAAAGGTACAAATCTGGATGTATGCATGAAGCAGTCTGCGTTCTGACTTGCATTGGGAATGGAGTTAAAAACAAGTTACCTAGTGAGATAATACATTAATTTATGATTCTGCTGTGTGGATTGTTTCTAGGACTAAACTTGTCATATTTTTGCTGAAAAAAATGCGTTTACTTTCCCAAATATTTTCTTACCATACAAATGCTCAGCTCTTTACAACACTTGTTTACAAAACAGAATGCTGAAGATGCAGGAGCAAGGGGGAGATGGAAAGGACTGCTGCAAGATTAAGGCCCTTGTACCCTTTCCCTCCTTGTTGCACGCTCCCAGTCAAGCAGCCTGAGCACGCCTGCAGTGCTCCAGTCCTTTGCACAGGTGTACCAAGTGTGTGTAGGTACAAAGCAGCAAGCTCTGAACCTTGCCAAAGGCTTCCAAAGCATACAGCTGACTGAATTTGACATGAAAATCATGGTCAAGTACAGGAGCCAGAAGTATGCACACTTTCATGTTTAAGAGGGAGATTCTCATCCCCTCGTCCCTTCCATAAGGGCGCTACAATTATCTTAAACATGAAAGCTACCAGTAAGTTGTTTTGTACCCTGCTAGCATCAAAACAAACTGCATTACTGTGACTGAGGCGTCACTTAAACTGTAAGTTTTACAGTTAAACAGACCTAGGGGAAAAATGTACAAATATGTATGTAGTTCCAAGTTTTCTGCCCCAGAGGCCTCTATACTGCGAGGCCGCAATTCTGCAGAGACAGCATAAAAGAAGGAAGCACAGCATTCGCAGAACCTGCCAGACTGACAAAACCCCCTCAACAGCGACAGAAAAAAATAGTCTTCTGTGTCAGGGAACTGACTCTCTACCACTTTTAAATCGAAGCGGTGATGAAATACCCGAGCGGAGGAACAGGAAAAACTCCACATCTGAGCAGAAAATAATTAAGTTACCTAGGGACGCGTTCTGGCGCTGGAACGGCACTTGGAAGG